TTTTCAGTCTAGGAGCATCAGTCCCTGGGACCATCAAGGGAGAAGACTGGAGAGCGGGACCCTACCCAGAGAAGCAGTGATGCCTGAGATGGAGGCAGAGACGATGACTTGGAGAGATGGAGCAGCTGGAGACTTTAGACACACAGAGGAAGAGGGGCTGTGTGCTGACAACCAGAGGGGCAGGCTTGTAGTGTATACCCTCTGGTTGGTTGATGATGCATGGAGGGGATTGTAACCATGGCAATGAAACGATATAAGGTAGGATGAATGTAAAACTAATGTTTTCCCATGAAACTATGACATAATTCACAATAAAACATTAAAAAAAAAAAGGCAAAGTTTCATGTGCTCCTTTCCCATACCCGTATGTAAGATGTCAGAACCTTGCATCTCCTCTCCACTTACACTGCTGCTGGGTGTACCAACCACCATGTCTCATCTGGAAAATATCCCAATTCTCACTGCTTCCCACCTCCTCCCTGCATCCACCTGCCACTGCTCTTCTCAAAGCCTACCAATGTTAGCTGTTGTACTCACACTCACCCCTGACCCTGACTCTTGGCTTCCCCAAGACAGACACTGGACTCACTCAGTCTTACCTCCTTTGAGATTGGACCCAGATATCATCTTCTCAACAAAGCCGGGCTGGCCACCTGTTTGTTGATTTTTCTAGTATATTATTGGAACATTTTAATTGACAGGAAATTTGAAAGAATAACAGAGTCCTGATGTGATGCTGTAGGATAAGTACTGGACTGTTAACCAAAAGGTTGATGGTTCAAAGCCATCAGCCACTCTTTGGAAACCCTATATAGGGTCACTATGAATTAGAACTGACACAGTGACACTTAATAAATCACCCTTTACCTAGATGCACCCATTGTTGACATTTTGTCTCATTTGCTTTATCTGTCTGCCTATCTAGTGTTTGACTTAAAATCAGTTGCATACATCATAACACTGGGCCCTAATCCTGTAGCAAGCTGCTCCCAAGAACAAGGATGCTTCCTCCTGTCTCGCCAGGGCTCACCTGCTAGTTTAAGACATTCAGCCAGAGGCAAAGTTCTACAAATCTTCCCGCTATGTCCTTTGTAATACTATTTTCAATCAGTGGTCCAAGTCAGGAGCACACATTGCATTGGTTGTCATGTCCCTTTAGTCTCCTTTAACCTAGGAGAGCAACTCACTTTGCCTTTTAGCAATGATGATTTGAGGTTCTAACTCCTCCCACTTACTAGTGTGTTAATATAAGTATGTTATATAGCCCCTCTGAGCATTGTTTTCCTCTTCTGTAAGAAAGGCAGTCTTGGAAGTAGCAGTCAAGAAATCAGATGATGGATTACACAGGACCTCTTTAAAGTGTTAAAGAACAAAGATGTCAGATTGAGGACTAAGGTGCGCCTGACCCAAGCAATAGTATTTCTATCACCTCAAAGTCGGTTTGAACTGCAAGGTCAGAGGTTCAAGCTCACTAGCCACTCCTCAGAAACCCTATACAGCCTTGCTATGAATCAGAAAGACTCAAGGACACTTAACAGCAACATTTGCAAGTGAAAGTTGGACAGTGAATAAGGGGAACCTGGGAAATGCATTTGAATTATGTTGGTGGTGAAGAATATTGAAAGTAACATTATGGACTGCCAAAAGCACAAATCTGTCTTGGAAGAAGTACAGGCAGAATGTTCCTTAGACTAGCAAGACTTCTTTTATACTTTGAAAGTGTTATCAGGAGGGACCAATCCCTAGAGAAGGGCATAATGCTGGTAAAGTGGAGAGTTAGCCAGAAAGAGGACAACCTCCAAGGAGATGGATTGACACAGTGGCAGCAACTATGGCTAAATCACAACAATTGTGAAGATGGTGCAGGGCCAGGAAGTGTTTCATTCTATTATGAATGGGATTGCTATGAAACAGAACTGACCTGATGGCACCTAACAACAACAACAACAAGGGCTTTTAGAAAAGCCATATTTTGGTTTGTGTGAGGGGGAAGATGGGGAATGTCTGGCTTGCAAAGTATAGGGATTATTATTATGAATGACTAAATAGCACATTCCTCTGACTTAATGTTATTCAGGAAGTCAGGGAGGCAAGCTGTCTGAGGGAAGCATGTCATGGGGTCATTTCTGGTGATTCTCTTCCCAAAAGGCAGGCAGGTGACAGGCTCAGGGAGCTTGGCATCTTCCATGGCTTTCTTAGCAGTCTCTCTGCAGATTCCTCTTATCCATAAGGAGAAACAATATTTTAGCTCACATTTCCCAGGCTGAACCACAGCAGGGAAGCCAACCACTGCCTCCGTCAAGCTATTCCCATATCACACTGGTGATCTGCTTCATAGAGAGGGTACCATTAAAAACAACTTCTTTATGGTATTGATACTTGTGAAGAGTGGCCTGTGGTCCTTCAGGGGGTTTATGGTATGATCTCTTTGTGCTTGCATCTAGATTCAATTAATTTGGCAGGAAAACTTCAGTGGCAGTGATGTGTACATCTCTCACCCCAAATGCCACCTCACCCTACCACCACTCTCCTCCCCCAAGCTTCCTTGGGTATTTATGTCCACCCACCTTACTGTGATGGTTTGAGCCCTGATGGGCTAGTGCCTACCAGTCTTCTGTAATTAGTAAGTCATCTGTAGGGGACACTGACTGGTACTCCCCTGCATCC